AGGTGGGAATTGAACAATGAGAACACTTGGACACAGGGTGGGGAACATCACACACCGGGGCCTGTCGTGGCGTGTGGGGAAAGGGGGATAGCATCAGGAGATATACCTAAGGTAAATAATGAGTTAACGGGTACAGCACACCAACATGGCACATGTATACATATGTAACAAACCTGCACATTGTGTACATGTACCATAGAACTTAAAGTATAATAATAAAAAAGCATAATAATAATAATATAAAAATTAGCCAGGCATGTGCCTGTAGTCCCAGTTACTTGGGAGGCTGAAGCATGAGAATTGCTTGAACTCAGAAGGTGGAGGCTGGTAGTGAACCAAGATCACGCCACTGCATGCCAGCCTGGGAGATACAGCAAAACTCTGTCTCAAAAAAAAAAAAAAAGGAAAAAGGAAAAATTTCAAATAAACTAACAATAAAACTCAAAGAACTAGAAAAGTAAGTGCAAACCAAACCCAAAATTGGTAGAAAATAAATAATTTTAAAAATCTAGAGGAAATGGACAAATACTTAGACACATATCACCTACCAAGATTGAACCAAGAAGAAATCCAAAAGCTGAATAGACCAATAACAAGTAATGAGATAGAAGCTGTAATAAAAAGTCTCCAGTAAAGGAAAACCTGAGACTCAATGGTTTTACTGCTGAATTCTACCAATCAGTTAAAGAAGAAGTAATGCCGACCCTACCCAACCTATTCCAGGAAATAGAGGAGGAGGGAATACTTCTAAACTAATTCTACAAGGCTAGTATTTCCGTGATACCAAAACCAGACAAAGACACATCAAAAATAAAACTACAGGACAATATCTCTGATTAATATTAATGCAAAAATCCTCAACAAAATACTAGCAAACTGAATTCAACAATGCATTAGAAAGATTATTTATCATGACCAAACGGGATTTATCCCTGGGATGCAAGGATGGTTCAACATAGGCAAATCAATCAGTGTAATACATTATATCAACCAAATGAAGGACAAAAATCATATGATCATTTCAATTGTGCAGAAAAAGCATTTGATAAAATTCAACATCCCTTCATGATAAAAACCCTCAAAAACTAGGTATAGAAGGAATATACCCCAACATGATAAAAAATCATGTATGACAGACCCATAGCTAGTATCATACTGAATGGGGAAAAATGGAGAGCCTTTCTTCTAATATCTGGAACATAACAAGGATATCCATTTTCACCACCGTTATTTAACATACTGGAAGTCCTAGCTAGCGCAATCAAACAAGAGAATGATATAAAGACCATCCAAATTTGGAAGGAAGAAATCAAATTATCCTGTTTGCAGATTATAAGATCTTATATTTGGAAAAACCTAAAGGCTCCACAAAATAAAAACTATCAGAACTGATAAACAAATTCAGTAAAGTTGCAGGATACAAAATCAACATACAAAAATCAGTAGCATTTCTGTATGCCAACAGTGAACAATGTGTAAAAGAAATTAAAAAGTAATCTCATTTACAATAGCCACACATAAAATCAAATACTTAGGAATTAACCAAAGAAGTGAAAGATCTCCATAATAAAAACTATAAAACACTGATTAAAGAAATGGAAGAAGACACCAAAAAATTGAAAAATATTCCATGTTCATGGATTGGAAAAATCAATATTATTAAAATGTCCACACTACACAAAGAAATCTACAGATTAAATGTAAACCCTATCAAAGTACCAATGACATTCTTTACAAAAATATAAAAAATCCTAAAATTTATATGAAACCACAAAAGATCCACAACGGCCACAGCCATCCTAAGCAAAAAGAACAACATTGGAAGAATCACGTTACCTGACTTCAAATTATACTACAGAGTTATAATAACCAAGACAGCATGGCACTGGCATAAAAACAGACACATACGCCAGAAAAGCAGAAAAAAACAACTTAAAAACAAATCCACACACCTACAGTGAACTCATTTATGACATGAATGCCAAGAACATACATTGAGGAAAAGACAGTCTAATAAACGGTGCTGGGAAAACTGAAAATCCATACGTAGAAGAATAAAACTATACCCCTATCTCTTATCGTATACAAAAATCAAATCAAAATGGAGTAAATACTTAAATCTAAGACCTCAAACTATGAAACTACTACAAGAAAATGTTGGGGAGAATCTATAGGACATTGGTCTGGGCAAAAATTCCTTGAAAAATACCCTACAACCACAGGCAACCAAAGTAAAAATGGACAAAAGGGATCACATCAAGTTAAAAGTCTTCTGCAAAGTATAGAGTCAACAAAGTGAAGAGACAACCCCCAGAATAGAAGGAAAATATGTGCAAGCTACCCATCTGACAAGGGATTAATAACCAGAACATATAAGGAGTTCAAACAACTCTATAGGAAAAAATCTAATAATCCAATCAAAAATGTGCAAAGATTTGAATAGACATTTTTCAAAAGAAGACACACAAATGGCAAACAGGCATATGAAAAGGTCCTCAACATCACTGATCATTAGCGAAATGCAAATCAAAACTACAATGAGATGTCATCTTATTCCAGTTAAAATGGCTTATATCCAAAAGACAGGCAATAACAAATGCTGGCAAGGATGTGGAGAAAAGGCAACCCTCATACACTGAGCGTGAGCATGTAAATTAGTACAACCACAATGGAGTACAGTTTGGAGGTTCCTTTAAAAACTAAAAATTGATTACTATATGATTCAGAAATCCTACTGCTGGGTATATACCCAAAAGAAAGGAAATCAGTATATCAAAGAGATATCTGGACTTCTATGTTTGCTGCAGCACTGTTTACAATAGCTAAGATCTTGAAGCAAACTAAGTGTCCATCAATAGATGAATGAATAAAGAAAATGTAGTACATATACACAACGGAGTATCATGCAACCATGAAAAAGAATGATATCCAGTCATTTGCAACAACATGGCTATAACAGGAGATCATTATGTTAAATGAAGTAAGCCAGACACAGAAAGGCAAACATTACATGTTCTCATTTGTGGGATTAAAAAAACTTTTTAAATGAACTCATGGACACAGAGAGTAGAATGATGCTTACTGGAGGCTAGGAAGGGTAGTCGGGGGCTGGGGAGGAGGTGGGGATGGTTAATGGGTACAAAAAAAAAATAGAATGAATAAGACCTACTATATGATCTATAAGATAGCACAACAGGGTGACAATAGTCACTAATAACTCCCTACATTTTAAAATAAAGAGTTTAATTGAATTATTTTTAATTCAAAAAATAAATGCTTGAGGGGATGGATACCCCATTCTCCATAATGTGTTTATTTTTTATTTTTCAAATACTTTAAGTTCTAGGGTGCATGTGCACAACGTGCAGATTTGTTACATATGTATACATGTGCCATGTTGGTGTGCTGCACCCATTAACTCGTCATTTACATTAGGTATATCTCCTGATGTTATCCCTCCCCCTTCCCCCCAACCCCACAACAGGCCCTGGTGTGTGATGTTCCCCACCCTGTGTCTAAGTGTTCTCGTTGTTCAATTCCCACCTATGAGTGAGAACATGCGGTGTTTGGTTTTCTGTCCTTGCGAAAGTTTGCTCAGAATGATGGTTTCCAGCTTCATCCATGTCCCTACAAAGGACATGAACTCATGCTTTTTTATGGCTGCATAGTATTCCATGGTGTATATGTGCCACATTTTCTTAATCCAGTCTCTCATTGATGGACATTTGGGTTGGTTCCAAGTCTTTGCTATTGTGAATTGTGCCGGAGTAAACATATGCGTGCATGTGTCTTTATAGCAGCATGATTTATAATCCTTTGGGTATATACCCAGTAATGGGATGGTGGGGTCAAATGGTATTTCTAGTTCCAGATCCTTGAGGAATTGCCACACTGTCTTCCCATGATGTACTTATTTCACACTGTATGCCTATATCAAAATATCTCATGTACCTCATAAATACATGTACCTACTATGTACCCACAAAATTAAATAATAAAATAATAAAAATACTTTCATATCTACTTATCTATAAAAAACTATTTCATTACTTTTCAGGGGACAGGTGGTTTTTGATTACATGAGAATTTCTTTAGTGGTGATTTATGAGATTTTGGTGTACCCTTCACCTAAGCAGTATACACTATGCCCAATGTGTACTCTTTTATCCCATCCCCCTCTCCCCCCTTTCCCCCAAATCCCCAAAGTCCATTATATCATTCTTAGGGCTTTGCATCTTCATAGTTTACCTCCCACTTACAAGTGAGAACACAAGATATTTGGTTTTCCATTCCTGAGTTACTTCACTTAGAATAATGGTCTTCAACTCCATCCAAGTTGCTGCAAATGTCATTATTTTGTTTCTTTTCACAGCTGAGTAGTATTCCATGGTGTATATATACCACATTTCCTTTACCCACTCGTTGGTTGATGGACATTTGGATTAGTTCCGTATTTTTGCAACTGCAAATTGTGCTACTATAAACATGAGTGTGCAAGTGTCTTTTTCATGTAATGACTTCTTTTCCTTTGGGTAGATACCCAGTAGTGGGACTGCTGGATTGAATGGTAGTTCTACTTTTAGTTCTTTAAGGAATCTCCATACTGTTTTCCATATTGGTTGTACTAGTTTACATTCCCACCATCAGGGTAAAGGTATTTCCTTTTCACCACATCCATGCCAACATCTATTATTTTTTTTATTTTTAAATTATGGCCATCTTTGCAGGAGTAAGGTGGTACCTCATTGTGGTTTTAATTTGCATTTATAGTTAGTGACATTGAACATTTTTTCACATGTTTGTTGGCCATTTGTCATACACATGTACTTCTTTGTAAATGTATGAAGCAATATGTTACAGTAAAAAATTAAATAGAGCTTGACTATTTTGCCTCTGGGACAAAAGCTCATAATGTAACACTATCACCAACTCCAAATAGAATTTTGATGAGGTCAGAGTTAAAGCAAACATTCTCTTTCCATGGGAGAGTAAACAGAAGGAAATAACAGGGATGATTCATTTGGCATAAGACCATCTCTTGATCACTATTCCTTACACAGTACATATCACTCTGGATGACATGAATTATCAGATTCCTATGGAAATTATCAGATTCCCTAAAATTTCTCCCCACCCCCCGCATGTTAACCAACAATCAGGAGGTAAGCACATTTTTCATTTTACAGAAATGTTGTTCTTCTTTTTAAGTTGTTTGATTAGGTCAGTAAGTCTTTCCAAGGCCCTAAATTAAAGAAATTGTCACAGTTTTTTCAGCAACATGCATGAGCAATTTCAGCGAAGTATTATTTGCATCTTGTGAATAAACTGCATTATTTTAATTACCAAAAAGGTATGACTCTTTTTTTCCAAGAATGAGTGACTACTTAGAGATACTTACCCAAGAGATTAAGGCAGCATCTAGTTCTAAAAACTTGGGCCTCAACATACCAAATTTAACTCTTTAAAATAAAATATTGGGAACTCCCAATTTCTCTGATTTTAGATAAAGCAAACAAATGTAGTTCTACATTTTCATTCTGAACCATAAATGCTCTCTATGCATACTCTTTCTGCTGAAAGTATTCAATTGTTTTCCCAGAATCTATAAAACCTCATCAGTAACCTTTACAAATAAAAAAGAAGATTAATTCTTCAGCTGACTATATTGATTTCAGCCTCCCTATAACACTGGGAGACTGAAGGAATAATTCTAATATTCATGACTCATGTTCAATAGAGAGAAAGGTATGATTTGAGCTTCCCTATAACACTGGGAGACTGAAGGAATAATTGTAATATTCATGACTCATGCTCAATAGAGAGAAAGGTATGATGCCCTTCAGAGAAAGCAAGTCACTGGAGTGACATCTCTTCACATGATAGCCTTTTGTATACTTATAGTATCAAGGTAAAGCAATTCACTGGTCTATTACATTTTTGCCAGCCTTTCCTGAAAGTATCAGTATGAAATCAAGTGAACAAGAGATGCCTGAAGGAATGTAGTCATCTACTGAAACTAAGATGTAAAATTCTTGAAAAAAAGTAAGTAACATTTCAGGTTTAATTCAATAACCAATTACAAGTACCTTCCTATTTTTTTCTCTGTGCAAATTCTTTTTTTTTCGGTTTCTTAGTAACAATCAGGCAAAATTTGTCAAAATATCATTTATGTCCAAGACTAGAACTTCTCTAGTAGTTTCTCCTAAAAACCTTCCCCCGTTTCCCTCCCTCACTCCTCCCCTAGGAAGACAGCATAGGGCTTGAGGTCTTGCAGGAAGCGCCACTGGCAGTAATACCTTATGTAACTTCTCACTTGTCAGGCTTTCTTTACTTAGTGTTCCCAAAATAGGTGTGCAGACCACTGATGGGATGAAGAGCTTAATTTAAGCTCACAGATACACTTACTTTTAATACAAAAGTATATGTTAGAAAAATAAACAACTAGCTAATAAAACCAATGATTTTGTAATTATTATTGGCAAGGATAAGGATAAGTAAAATGGTGACTCGATGTAAAGTTGACTAAAAGAAACAGTACTTCATAGTTAAGTGGTACAAAGCCATACCCAATTCATATAGGGCTATGTAACTGGAAACATTTAGGAAGCTTCTGATGCTACCAGTATCTTTGCTCCTCTGTGCCAACCTCAGACAGCATCCTCAGTGATACTTATACCTTCTATTGCTTCCTCTCAGCTAGATACGTCTATGAGTAGCTAACCCTACCTACATTTTTCTAATCTTTAAACAAATACACTAACAAAGACCCTCTCTCACTTCCCTTTCAGCCACAGCTCTTTCTCTCCCCACTCCCCAAATCTTAGACAGTCAGCTACCACTGCTGGCTGACTGCACATTCACACCTCCCTCTCATTTCTCCACACACTCAGCTCAGGTTCCCTGCCCCCGTCCCCCAGCCCCAGTATATAACCGACCTGACGATAAACCCAAGGATAACTTCAATCATTATCTCACTTTATCTTTCAGCAGCATTCAACAGAGTTAACCACCAAATCATCTGCCATTTGCCAAGCTATTACGGTTTCCCTTCTTCTCTGGTAGGTTTTACTTTGTTTTGATCTTTTTCTTTTTTTAGTTTCCTCCGCTGGCTTCTTTTCCCTTTAAGACTGTGAACGCTAGCATTTCTCATGGTCATTCCTCAGGCTCACTACCCTTCTCATTCCATATAGGCTCCCTAAGTAACCTCATCCACTCTCCCAGCTTCAACTATTGTCCATATGCTGATGATTCCCAAATCCATGTCTCCAGTTCAGGTCTCCACTCTGAGCTTCTGACTTGTTTATTTGGCCAACTTGGATGTTCTATAGGAATCTCAATGACAATGCGACCCAAATGGAACTTATCCACTCTCCCTATGTTTCTACTGTAGATGAAGAAGAGCATTCACCTTGCCACCCAAGCCAGAGACCATAGTCCTTGACTTCTGTCCTGAAATGTGCTCATCCAATCAGTCCCCAAGCCTGCCTCCCCAGTATACAGGCAGACCTCTCACCACCTTACCATCATGTCAACAGAGGCCACTGCCATCCCTTGCCTCATCAACTACTGGCCTCGGAACTGGTCCCATCCTCACTATCATCTTCATAATACATGAATTTAGCCTCTACATCATCTTAGGATCAGGCCCCCAACAGCCTAGCATGTATAACAAGGCCCCACACAGCTGGTTCCCCAGTGCTGTCTCTCAGATTGCGTTCTAGCTACATGGAGAACATTCCAGCTCTTCAAAATCTCCAATATCTTCTTGCCTTTGGATCTCTACACATACCTGAGACACTCTCTTCCCACAGTCCTGGGCTCACAGCCACTCCTGGGTTAGGTCTCAGCTTAGACACCACTGTGGACTTCCCTATCACGTCACCCACCACCCTTCATTGTAACTCTATTTTAATGTCTGCCTTCCTCTTTCCACTGCACATTGCACGAGCGCAGTGAGCACACGTGTCTCACTCATCACTGCATTTCCAAGAAGTGGCATCATTCTTGGCACAGTGGTTGATACTCAACAACCACTTACTGAACGAGAAATACAGCTATTCAGCCACCAAAAGAAAATGAGGTATCTGTAGGTCCTTAAAGCAAAACTGTCTGAAACAGCAAAAATACCAATTTCACTGAGTATAGTAAACATTATTTTGTTTTGCAACTACCTAAAGAATGCTGTGCAAATGGCCATGAGACTCTACCAGTTTTCAGCATCAAGCCAAGACACACTTTGTTCTGAGATAACTGAATGGTTTCCTGTCTCACAAATAAACTGTCACCCAACAGTTACCTTGCTTACTTCCTTCAAGGCTCTTTTGCAGACTTCATACTTCGGAGAGTCCTTAGGTGTTTTTTGACAGATAGTCTGTAATGAAATAAAGGTGAACAAAATTTATTGATTTATTTTATTCAGTAAAATAAAACCAATGTCCAGCCATATCCTCTTACTCATAGCAAACAATGCCAAACATGGTATTATGGATGAGTATGAGGATAATATTAAAACCCAATTTAAAAACCAGGAAATAATCTTTAAACACAGGATCCAAGTCCATCCAGGGAATGGTTAAGTAAGAAGATAGGTGGGCACCCTGGTTTCAAATCCCAGCTCTGCCCCTTACTAGTTATGCAACCTTGGGCAAGTCACGGACTCTGTCTTTATAAGCCTCTCTTTCCTCATCTGTAAAACTGGGGTGATGCCAAATACATCACAAGGTTGTTACAAGTGTTAATGATAATTTATGTAAAGTTCTTTATGAGTGCCTGGCATACGGTATGCCCTCAATAAATAAGAGTTACTTTAATTATCACCATTGTAATCATTGTTATTAGAGGCAATTATATTTGTAGATGATACATTTTGAATAAAAAGAACAGCCGGGCACAGTGGCAGCACTTTGGGAGGCCAAGACGGGCAGAATGCTTGAGTCCAGGAGTTCAAGACCAGCCAGGGCAATATGGAGAAACCCCATCTCTAGAAAAATACCAAAGAAAAGATTATCCAGGCATGGTGGTATGCACCTGTGGTCCCAGCTACTCAGGCGGCTAAGGTGGGAGGGTCACTTGAGCCCAGGAGGTGAAGGTCGGAGTGAGCCGAGATCGCACCATTGCACTCCTGGGTGACAGAGTCTCAAAGAAATAACAACCAACCAACCAAAAAAAAAAAAAGGAGCAAGGGAAAAAGAGCCTGCTAGATTTTCTGTGATATATTTATACTGAGAAATTTCATTTGTGAATTTCATTTGTGATAGTAAAATCAAGGTCAAACAGGGTCAATTCCCGGTAAATTTAATTACTTATAACTTTAAAGCTATACACACACATTCAAAGTCCAAGGAACCAATTTAATTATTGACACTGTTTATTTCAATTAACAAGCTTAACTGAATTTTCAAATGAGGTAAAATTGAAGAGACACTGCTTTAAGTACATTTATATTCTGTCTAACTGGCCAGATTTCCACACATGAGAAACAGTTTAGAGCAACAGGCATCAGGCAGAGGTAGAAAGTAGCTGGGGACTAGCAAGTCACTGGTCCCTTAAATATACAGAAGCACCAAGCCAAGCCATCTGAAAGTCAGGCATCAAGATTTTTAACTATGTGCTATGTGAGAAACACAGAACGCACCATCTGTGGAGGTTCTTATAGTTTTTGACTACGACCTACTGTAAGAAATACTTTTACACTGCAACCAGCACACATGCACACATAAATGAACCAGGATTTTATGAAACAGTATTTAACCACTTTATGAGCAATGTACATACGCTCATAATTCAAAAATCAGTTTTATGACCCACTAATGGGTATGAAAGCAGCATGAAAAATACTGGTTTATGTCTCTGAGAGCAGGCATTCGAAGCTGGACTCCATATATTGATATTTTATGTAAAATTCTGTGCATACACAAACTCTCTGGGAAGAAAAGCTATAGCTTTACTCAGAATCTTAATGGGGTCTGTGGCTTAAAAAAAGTTTAAAGCCTACTGAGCAATCAGCATGAATCTCCAACACTGTATAACATAATGTGTTAGATTTTGGAGTCCCATTCTATACAAGTAAATTTCTCAAATTTAAAAAGGCTATAAAAGGCTTGGCGATCATAGCATATATAAAATCTGGAAAACATGTTTAAAATGCATTTCATTTATTTTTATTCTTTTATTTCAATTCTCAAAGAGGAATAAAATGCATTTTCAGAAGAAGAAAAATAATCTGAAAATTCCAAAGTCTAACATTACAAGAAATGTTATATTTACAAAGCACTCACTTCTTGTTTAAAAAAAATAGTCACATTTGAAATAGTATTTCCTTATATGGACCAAAGTTTCCTTCTTAAGCCAAAATTTGATTTTGATAACTTAGCAGCATTCTATCTTTAAACATGATAAATACTGATTTCAAAAAAAAAAATCAGAAAGTGAAATGTTCAAAACTGCAAGCTTCCCAAAATGCACACAGGAGGGAAGTTCCCGAATTATAGGAGATGGGTGGAGAAGGTGTAAAGGCAGTAGAACGAGGTGAACTTGAGGAGCACAAGGTGCTGTGAATCCTGAAATATCTGACAAAACCTCTCCAAAACTGCAGCAGTCAGCTAAATGCTCATGATCCCAAGCTTTTACACATTTCAAAATTTCAGCATTTTTAAAGAATATATTTTAGAATTTACAATGGGAAACAGAAGGTGAAATTTACTTTGTAACCTTCATCATAATTTTTAATATATATTTTACTTTAATTAGTAAAAATCAGGTATGTAAAAAGTTGACCTTATATCAACATTATGATCCAATTTTAAAGTAGGATTGTAACAAAATATTTTCTAATTAGATCAAAAAGACACTCTGTGGTCCACTGCTGGGGTGGCCCCTATGTCGAGCCACCCTGTTTTCTCTTCTGCTGCTCTAGCAGCTCCAGTGCAGCCAGTGGCAGACTCTCCTGCCCATAGCCTACCTGTCTTTCCAGCTGCACGTACTACTAGGCAGATTCCACTCACTCTTCCCAGTCATGTCTTGCCATTATTCAAAGTCAAACACTTGCTTTCTTCATGAATGCTGCCTAACACAAGAAGGATGCTGGGCTTTTTCCTCATTCACTTTGCACAATGATAATACAGGCAATACTAAGCCTTGTCATGCTGAAGAGACACTCATTCCTGTATGAAATGGAAGCCCCAGGGCACCTTGGAACATTATAGATGAAGCGATCTCAGTGATCAGTCTGAGGAATCTTAGGCCCAAAGAGACTGAGTTGCTCAAGGTCACATGCCTAATGGCTTAGCTAGAATTGGAATCCAGGCCTCCTGACATAAAGAAGCCACAACTCTTCCTATTTCAAAAACTGCTGAGTAAGTGGGTGATGAGATCCAATTTCTTCAGAATGACCACAGACGCCTACATGAAAGATAATTTCCAGAGATACCAGACACAGGTGAGACTTTCCGAACAAACAACACCTTCTCGCTTAATTGGGGGATTTTTAGACCTTTAAATATGCATCAATTTAAGTGGAAGAAGAATAATTTTCTTAATCAGATTTAGAGAAGCACAGCTCTCCACAGAGGAAAAAGCCACCATCATGTCTTACATCCATCAGCAGGGGAAGGCGGGTCACCCTCTGCATGGGGAGAATGAGAAAAGAGATCATGGGTAAGTTCCTACAGTCTTCATGGGACTCAATCCTTGACAATACTTCCTTAAAGGATGGATTGGTAGCTCTGAGGGAAAACAAAGAAAAGAGAAACTTCAAAATATGTCCTCCTCAAATTAAGCAGTAAGTAAAAATGTATTACAAGATACTGTGATAAATCCATATAGCACCAACTATTTTAAACTATATGAAAACATCAAAAGCACATAATTACACGGGCAAATATGAATGGCTTGTCTGCCTTTTATATTCGAGGCTGAATATAATAAGATGTGGATTTTACGTAACAGTATTAACAACAAGGCAAAACATGTATGAGCTAGAAATTTATACAAGTGGAAGATAAGCAAATGAAGAACCCATGGTAACATAATGGTGAATATATGGGTCATAAATCAGTATACAGACTAGGTCTTATATCTGATCATATATAAACACATAAAATTAATAAGATCATAAATAATATGTTTTAAGCCACTTCTCCAGCCCTAGACAATGATATAAGAAATTAACAGTTAGACTGGACTTCAGAGGCTTTAGGCCACAAAGATCCTGTTTCTGAGACAGAAAATCTTTTGATCACATCAGTCAAAATATTCCTCTTTTTCTTCTGTTAATGTAAGAAAAGTATTCATGCTGCTATAACATTTTAATGACACTTAGCAAGATACTGTGACATACATTCTTTCATGTGGAACCACCTACATAACTTTTAAGGAAGGCCAGATAGGGATTCCAGTAAGAAAATGGAATGCAGAAAGGTCCCTACCTCACCAAGTAAATATGACTTAGTAACTGGCAAAGACAGAAGTCAAACCCAGGTTTGTTTGGTTTTTTTTGAGATGGAGTCTTGCTCCGTCACCCAGGCTGGAGTGCAGTGGCACGATCTCGGCTCACTGCAGCCTCCCAGGTTCAAGCGATTCTATGCCTCAGCCTCACGAGTAGCTGGGATTACAGGTGTGCGCCATGACGCCCAGCTAATTTTTGTACCTTTAGTACAGACAGGGTTTCGTCATGTTGGCCAGGGTAGTCTCGAACTCCTGGTTTCAAGTAATCCACCTGCATCGGCCTCTCAAAGTGGTGACATTACAGGCATGAGCCACTGTGCCCGGCCTCAAACCTAAGTTTTCTAATGTTAAATCTGACACTCTTGTCCCCCCCATCTCTCACTCTCTTACCTCACTTCATCCCATGAGGAGCTCTGTAGAGCGCCACTGCCACTTTCCAAGGCAGGGAGGGTAGGAGGTAGATGGATACTGTACTCCCATGAGGGGAGAAGGAAGCAGCATAGTGGCAATAGAGTCATTTTTAAAAAAATGTTATTTTGAAAATGAAATAATTTTGTTCAAGGCTGCTACTAAAAGCAGGGAGGGGGAGAATGCCAGAATAGCAAAAGAAATGATACATAACATTTCATTTCCATTTTCTCTAATTGAGAAGTTTTAAGTTTCCTTTTACTGACAGCTTTGACAAGATTTTTAGAAAGTTAAAAAAATATATTTAAAAAACTCTAAATTAGTTGTATATTTAAATAACTCAGGTCCCAGTCCCCTCCCTCACCTTCCAAAGGTTCTGATTAAATGGTCTGGGATGGACTCTGGACACTGTATATTTGCTCATTTCCAGGTCCCAAAGTATTTCTAACATACAGCTAGAATTGAAAGCCACTGTTCTAACCTTAAATTCGCATCAACTGTGGGCCAGGCACGGTGGCTGATGCCTGTAATCCCAGAACTTTGGGAGGCAGAGACAGGTGGATCATGAGGTCAGGAGATCAAGATCATCCTGGCTAACACGATGAAACCCGGCCTCTACTAAAAATACAAAAAATTAGCCAGGTGTGGTGGCACGCACTTGTAGTCCCAGCTACTCGGGAGGCTGAGACAAGAGAATTGCTTGAACCTAGGATGTGGAAGTTGCAGTGACCCGAGATTGTGCCACTGCACTCCAGCCTGGGCGACAGAGAGAGACTCCATCTGGGTGGGGGGGGGAGGGGCAGGGGGTTGGAATCACATCAACTCATCAACTACAACAAAGCCCCTGAAAACACAACTACTAATTGCCATGTGAAAGTGCAGATGATGTTATCATTAAGCGAATTTAGATAAAACCTTTAAGAGTCACGCGATGCATAGCAGTACCTAGTGACATTTTTTAAATTCTGCAAAACAAAATGAAACCCAAATTTATCTATAATTCAAGGCCTTGTTTTCAGACATGAACTTGCATTCTCTAACAGTTACAGAGCAACCTCTGTCCCTATAGCATCCGTTCCCACCAGGGGGTGGTGGAGTGAGGAAGTGATGGGTGTGGTTTTACCCTCAGGGGACCTTCTGCAATGTCTGGGGAGATTTTTGGCATCTAGCAGATGGAAGCCAGGGATGCCCTTAAGCATCTTACCATGCACAGGACAGCCCACCACAAAGACTTATCCAGTCCAAAATGTCAATTGTGCGAACAAACGCTGCTTTATATTAAAAACCTCATTCGGGGTTGGCAGAGTGTGTTTTCCACTCTGGCTATATGAAAATGTCATGAAGATGTGAAGCAAGGGAGCCATCATCAGCCCTTCTCACCAGCTTGGAGGCTTTGACTATTTCTCCAAGCAGCCATAAGTTAGTCACCCTCAACCCCTACTCCTCCATAGGGGTCTCACAAATTGCACAGAAGTTGACCAAAGCTCCATGCTATGGTCATAAATGCCACAGCTCACAGGAGGGGGTGAGAAGGATAACAGCCATTAAGCTCCCAAACTGGGTCTACAGCAGTGCCCAACTGTGCTGGAAAACAGCTACTTGTGATAAACAGGACTCTTTAAAATACACATAGGCATTACTGAACAATTGGTGACTCTTTTAAGGATGCAGATGGCATTATGTATCACATCAAAACTCTCAGTAACCTAAAAAGGACAAAAAGAAGTGTCGGGAAATCTAATACTTGAGACTTCTGCTGCATAACTGAAATCTTCAAGAACATTATTTTTTTCTATTGCCTTCCTTCAGAACTTCTCTCCTCTCCTCAATCCTAACTACCCAAGGGGAGGAATAATCAGCAATTTTTGTAAACAATTCATTATCATTGTCAATTGAACGGAGGGAGATTAGAATAGTAGAGAAAACCCTGAATTTTAGCTTCTAGCTCAATCTACTCAAGAATCCCCTCTAGGCCTCAGGGAAACCACTTAATTGCCAGTTAAAAGCTCAGAAAACTGCCGGTTTGGAGTGAGGACCACCTCTGTGTCTCGCCAGCAATTAAAAACAAAGAAACAACCAACAAGGACAACATCAAGAACAAACTAAAATTTCATAAGACAGAAAATTCTCTACCCACTAGATTTTTCTACTTAAACACCCTCGCCCTAAAAGTAATGCTCTTAAACATTTCTCCTCAGGGAAATAGACTATCAGAAGGCATTCCTAAATACAATTCAAAAGATCAATTAATTTCAGTCAATGTAGACTAATTAAAACTAGGTTAGACTATTAAAACTGTAGCATTCAACATTGCTTACAACAATTTTTGTAGTGTTCGTTGTTGGTAGACTTCATTTGTGCAGTATTTCACATATGGGTCAAATGTGGATGCTGTGTGTTTTTCCACGATGTCACTTATATCATCTATGAAGATATTATTCTGATGTCTTGCTTCCAACTCTATAAAGAACCTGAAAAACCAAAGGGAAAAAAGTTTACACATCTTTCATACACTCTAACAGATAACAGGTTATCCTCGTGTAATGTTATTACATGGGGTTTGAAAATTCAACAGTACACAGTACCAACTAAAAAATATTTTTAAAAACTACAAAAATTTTATCTAAGTTTAAATCTATCATATCAACACCTCCTTGAGGATGGGCATTGTGGCTCATGCCTATAATCTCAGCACTTTTGGAGGCTGAGGCAGGAAGATCACTTGAGGCCAGGAGTTCAAGACAAGACAAAACCAAAAAAAAACCCTTCTTATTGCTTCAAGTGTTTGGCTTCAAACACCGATAATCCGAGGCATTGCTCTGCCTTCAGGTACTTTAGTCTAAACGTATTTCACTATTTTTCAAGAATTCTTTATGGGAAGGGGAATGAATGCTTACATATTTTATTTATTGAAAAGTACATGAACAAAACACCTAAATAAATGCTTAAAAAATAAGTCTGAGGCCAGGCATGGTGGCCCACACCTGTAATCCCAGCACTTTCGGAGGCCGAGGCGGGTAGATCACGAGTTGGAGGGATCGAGACCATCCTGGCCAACATGGTGAAATGCCGTCTCCACTAAAAATACAAAAATTAGCCAGGTGTGGTGGCACGTGGCTATAGTCCCAGCTACTCGGGAGGCTGAGGCAAGAGAATCGCTTGAACCCAGGAGGTGGAGGTTGCAGTGAGCCAAGATCGCGCCACTGCACTCCAGCCTGGCGACAGACTCCGTCTCAATAAAAATTAAAAAACAAAAAACAAAACAACAGTCTGAAATAAATCTAACACTATATGTTAGTCAAAATAAAAATAATCATATTATTTTAAACCTGATAATATACATGGTATTTAAATCCCTCCCTTCCTCCCTCCAATCCCTTCCTTTCTCCCTTCCTCCCTTCATCTCTCTTTCCTTTCTTCCTTTCTTCCTTCCTTCCTTCCTTCCTTCCTTCCTTCCTTCCTTCCTTCCTCTCTCCCTCCCTCCCTCTCTCTCTCTCTTTCTTGCTTTCCTTTCTTTCTTTTCTTTCTTTCTTTCTTCTGAGAAAGGGCCTCACTCTGTCACCGAGGCTGGAGTGCACTGGCATTATCTCTCACCTCACTGCAATCTTTGCTTTCCAGGATCAAGTGATTCTCCTGCCTCAGCCTCCTGAGTAGTTGGGATTACAGGCATGTGCCACCATGCCTGGCTAATTTTTGTATTTTTTAGTAGAGATGGGGTTTCACCATATTGACTGGGCTGGTCTCAAACTCCTGACCTCAACTGATCTACCCACCTTGGCCTCCCAAAGTGTTGGGATTACAGGTGTGAGCCACCACACCCGGCCAGTGTTACCAGATTTAGTGTATAAATAGATAGCAATTTAGGGTCACCTAAATATATACATACAAACAAATGTATGTATCTATAATATACATATATATGGTATATATAATTATATATGTCATATAGATAGCCATTGTTTATCCATTCATCTGCTGATGGAGACTTGGGTAGTTTCTAGTTTTTGGCTACCTGGAATAATGCTGCTATGAACATTTGCATACGAATATCTATTTGTGTGTCTGTTTTCAAGTCTCTGGGGTATATATCTATCGGTGGAATTTTAACCACACTGTGCAGTAGTATGTGTATGGGTGTGGGGGTGTGGGTATGTGTGTGTGTGTGTGTTTGAGAGTGTGTAGAGAAATGATAGCATAATACCTGAACCAAAACAGAAGAAGCTGAATTATGTACCAAGGAGAGGTTAGTTCATTAAACAAAATTGAGTAAGAAATGATCCTTTCGGCCGGGCGCGGTGGCTCACGCCTGTAATCCCAGCACTTTGGAAGGCCGAAGCGGGCGGATCACAAGGTCAGGAGATCGAGACCATGGTGAAACCCCGTCTCTACTAAAAATAGAAAAAATAGCCGGCGCAGTGGCGGCGCCTGTATCCAGCTACTCGGAGGCTGAGCGGAGAATGGCGTGAACCGGGAGGCGGAGCTGCAGTGAGCAGAGATTGCGCCACTGCACTCCAGCCTGGGCGACAGAGCGAGACTCCGTCTCAAAAAAAAAAAAAAAAAAAAAAAAAAAAAAAAAAAAGAAATGATCCTTTCCCTCCCAACACTCGCAGTGGAGTGGTTGATGGGAGGCATGCAGCCAATTACAATAGAGGATCTATAACACAGGTGTGGCATAATAAAATAATAAGTATTTGGTCTTCATCCCTGGTTCTTGGAACACAGCTCCCAAAATACCTGGAATCTCCAGAGTGATAGCAGTGTCTTTCGTATGCCAGCGAGATGACTGGTAGCTGGGGGCCCTTAGATAGCTTCGGCATGGCTCTCTGCATGGCCAGGAAGACCAAGCAAGGATTGCAGGGTTGGAACTTTTAGCCATGCCTGCCTACCTCCAGTCATAAGAGTTTGAGTTCAATTGTCAAGGAACGATGATTTAATCAATTATGGCTACGTAATAGAGCCTCCATCATAACCCTTAACTGATGGGGTTAGGGAGGGACGATGAACACCTTGAGGTGCTGGGAGGGTAGCAGGCCCTGAGAGGGACTAGGTGGTCTGCAGTACCTACACCCCCTCCAGCCTTGCCCTGTAACAATCTTTGTATTTGACTGTTCTTGAGTTGTACCCTATATAATAAACCAGAAATTGTAGAGTACCTTCCTGAGTTCTGTGAATCATTTTAGCAAAGCATCAGGGCCTGAAAGAGTGGTGGATTGTGGAAATCCCCCTGCAACTCCGTAGCCAAGTAGGAGAGAAGTGTGGGTAACCTGGGGACCCAATGTTTGCATCTGCCATCTTAAATGAGGGCAGTTTTGTGGGCTGAAACCTTAAACCTGTGGAGTCTGATGCAAACTCAGGGTGGTTAATGTCGGAACTGAAACTGTAGGACTGGAAATGTAGGACACACAATTGGTGTCTCGAGGGTTAGAGAATTGGTTGATATAAGAAAAAAAATCACACATTTGGTGTCAGAAGTATGGTGAGTAAAAATAAAGAGGCCTACAAAGAAAACTCCAGAGGGCAGAGTAACCACCCTCGCGGTAAGCACAGGTGAGGCCACCTGTAAGCTGGATCATCACTGCCAAGGATGACATGACGGGAGCAGGGGAAAGAAGCACAATGGGCAGAGGAAGCAACGTGGGTCTGGTTGGGGAAACTGGGAAGTTCAGTGGAGCTGAGGTATAGACTCTAGGAGGAACAAGGGCATAGAAAGAAGACTGCAGAGCAGGCTTGAGCTCAATTGCAAAGGTTAGACTGCGTGCTGGAAAGTTTGGGATTAATCTGCAGACTATAAGAAACCAGTGGAAGCCAATAAATCACTCAATCCGAGAAAACTGGAGCAGAGCAAGGATGGATTACTAGCAGGGAGGGACAGATGGCAAGCAGGCTGGTTAGGTGGCTAATCTGGGCAAGTCGACAATAAAGCCTAGTAGTGGAAAATCAAGAGAGGACACAGCGTGGGGTAACAATCTGGAGATAAAATTAATAGACTCAAGAAATTCGTTAGATGGGAAGTCAAGGAAGATGCTGAGATTTCTGGTCAAGGTTTCCACCTGGGCAATAAAGTGGGTTCTTAAACTATTAATGAAGACAGAGATTCAGGAAGAGGGGGAAGAAGCAGGAAGAGCTCCATTTAATTTTGCCTTGGAGATGTCTAATGGACAGCTAAAAATACACACCTGTGAGAATTCAGAGCAATGTGAATTCTAGGTACTGTATAGTTGAGACTACTTGATTTCTAGCTGGTTTTCACATAAATATGAAATATTTGTACAATTGTTTTGTAATGCAAATGTATAGAAAATTGTTCAAAGAAAATTGAAAAAAGAAGAAACCATAAAGCCATTATCATGTAATTCTAGGATATAAATATCTTGAGGCAAGTATCTCTTACAATTTGTCTTTAGCTTACACTGTTACCAGCCTGAAGGAATGCAACTATATAACCAAAAACAACAGTAACTTGGCTTTTCTCAATTAAAAGGAAAATTTCATTTATCACTGTAAAAGTTTTGCCAAAGCACAATATTAAAAATAAGGTACTAATTAAATATCTGTTTATGCTACTTACTTCAATATAAACCAAACCACCCATCTTGTATTTTTACAATGACATAATTAAGACATATTTTAAAGCTTTCTATGTTAAATGATCTACTGGTTATTCTGGGAAATTTGCATACTTTACTAAGTGACCTAGCTACAAAAAGACCAAGAAAGTATTTCTAAAACATGAAGTATGATTTCGGGAACCAAGACTGCTGGTGAATCAAATCAAATCTAAAGCAAAAGTAAAAGTATTCTGGTTCCCCGGATGAAACTTGAATGAAATAATTTGGGCCTACTGGGAGGACAACTTTTTAATGGAAATACGTATTTAAGTTCTATGAATTTTTTTCTGGGGTAATACTTTCATTATTTCCTCTTTGTAGTATTACCAAGATGTTCATGTTTTATAACCAATCATGTTATACAACCTTTATCTTTTTTTCCCCCCTAAAGCATTTCCAGTCTCACCCCTAAAGAGAAACCTTCTGTGGACCAGGAAAAGCTGCCTAGAAACATTCTCTCCTAACCAGAAACACAAGTTAGCCCTGTTTGACTGTCAACTCACCATCACAAGGAAACTCACACCCATACTTCAAATAAGTGCTTTAAATGATTGCAGTCTGCCCAGGTGAGCTCCTCAGCTGTGCAGACAGTGGTCCTATCAAACATACAAGGCCAACCTCCCAGGAGGTTCAAGATTCAGCTAAAACCCATGTTTGAAAAAAGAGCCTGATGTGGAGCTTGCTTATGGTCTAGTAAGCTTTCTTCTAACATTTTTTAAAACTGCAGGGATTTTTTTTAGGCCTTTTGTGGTTGCTTTATTATGTGATGATCTTAAATGTGGCACTACATTTTTGAGGAAAAAACAAAACCAACAGCGAGCCTGCTTTATGATATGGTCATTATACCCATTTTACAGATAAGA